GGGAAGGCCTCGGCCGCGATGGAGATGCCTTTTTCGATCAAATCCTCATCAATGCAGTGCTCGAAGGACACGGGCGTCGCGAGGCGGCTTCGGCACTCGAGGCGGATCTCGACCTGCCGCCGCTCCCCCACCCGCGCCACCCCGAGTTTCGCGAAGTGGTTCACGACGTCGACGTGGGGGATCTCCCCTTCCCCGCGGAAGGGCACGACCGTCGGGAAGGCCCCGTTGACGGTCAGTTTGAGCCGATTCTCGTAGACGCGGACCTCCTTCGGGTGGAAACTCACGGTGATCACCGCCGTCTCGTTCGACTGCAGGGTGAGAAAGCTCGGGTCGACCTGGAAGATCCGCTCGTTGTCCTCGGGGAAGGCGATCTGGACGGAGATGGGCTCGCGGTCGGTGTTGTTGACGCTCAGCGTCGTCGTGACCTCGTGATTCGGGTTGTACATCGCGATAAAGCGCGGGCCGAAGTTGTAGGCGCCGAAGCTGAGGTTCATCTTCGGCACGTAGCCGCTGCCGTGGAGGAGGATTTGGTAGGTCGGGCGGTCCGCGATGCGGATGCGGAGTTTATAGCGCTGCAACGCCTCCTCGACGGTCGGGCGGTAGGTGAGCATGATGGCCGTCGACTCCCGCACCAGCACCACGCCTTCGCTATTCTCCAACGACACCGACGGGTGGTTGGGCGGGGCCACGATCTTGTAATTGAAAGGGTGCTGCCCATTGTTGGTCAGGACAAACCGCCGAATCGCGCAGGTGTCCAGCTGGACGCGGCCGAGGTTCAGGTGGAAAGGCTCCCCGCGCGTGATCGGGATCGGGTCGGCGCCCCCGGCATCGGGCGCGAGCATCGGGCTCGTCATCCGACCGATCTCAGGGATCTCCACCGAGAGGCTATCGTGAATGCACACCCCCTCGCCCTTGACGTTCACGCTCAGTGTGGTGCTGGACTTCTTGATAGTGCACACCAGCGGGATGTTGTAGATCATCTCCTCGTTCGGCGTGAAGGCGATGTGGACGGCGACCTTCTGCATCGGCTCCACCACGCCGGAGGTCGGCTTCACCGACAGCACATTCAGCACCTCGTTCTTCTCCAAGATGTCAAAGACGAAGTTGAAGGGCAGCTGATCGCGGTTCTCCAGAAATACGGTCTGCGCCCCGCTGCTCCCGACGATGACGGCGCCGAAGTTGACCTTACTTGTGCTCAAAAAGACCTCGGGATCGACCGCCTTGCCGACCAGCAGAAAGGGAATGGTGGCCTGGCCGATGAGGCTGAAGGCCCAGCGCGCCTCGCGGACGCCGAGCTCGTCGGCGCAGAACTCAAAGCCCATCTCGACCTGCTTCTCCGCGTGGAGGTGGCCGCTCGGGGTGAGGCAGCGAAAGGGCGAGAAGGTGTTGACCGGGTCCGCCAGATCGAGCCACTCGAAGGTGTAGTTCGTCTTGGTGGGGTTGATCACCTTAAACCGCATCGGCGTCCGGGTGTAGAGGTTCCGACTCAGGAACTCCAACACCAGCGTCGTCGCGGCGCTCAGCTCCCCGCCCGCCTCGCCTTGGGCGTGTTTGGTCAGATAATCGGATGGGGGGATCTGAAAGTGCACGAGCGGGCAGACGCCGAGGCCGTGGAGGGCCAAAACCTGCTGCGGGGCGGTGCTGAAAGGGAAGCCCGCGAGCAGCGACGCCGTCTGCTCCTTCGGCCCCACC